ATTTTACTTGGTACAAATGTGAATAACACGCGTTACAATGCATTTTTAACCTGGATTGAATTTTTTCGTTTTTCTTCATACAAATTCGCTAAAATCACCGCAATATCAGCAGCGGTGAAACGCCATCGTTATGGTTACAAATATAAGGACTGGCCCAGAGGTGCTCCTGTGTAGACCATCGGGTAACCACGGGCAAAAGAATCGGCAGCTGATGCCCGATCGTGCTTTATGGACGCCCTGCTCCACGGGCTCGGGGTTCTCTCAGGGGCAGTCCTACTTTCCAAGTCCTAGTCCAAGATTAGTCCTGGTTCAGTTCTGGTTCAGTTCTGGTTCATTTCTGGTTTAGACCTGGTTCAGTCCTGTTTTAGCTCTGGTTTAGTTCTGATTCAATCCTGGTTCAATCCTCGTTCAGTCCTGGTTTAGTCCTGGTTTAGAAATGTTTTAGTCCTGGTTCAGTCCATATAGGGCACAAAAGTTCAGCATATTCGCTCGCTGATTGTTATTTGACGATCAGCGACAGTTATTTTGGTGTAATTTAAAGTGCTGCAATAGTCGTGTAATGTCTTAAATTTTAAATGCAGCAATATAGTAATGTAACGTATTACTTTGAAATGACAGTAACAAGTCATAAATAAATAACACATTACAGTTTTGAAGTAACTCGCCCAACAGTGATAACAGGTGGTTTAATAGCTCAAAAATACCTAGAAAAACAGGCATTCTGACTGTGAGCGGGGTGGCCTCTCCACAGATCTGACCTGTAACTTGATCTGAGAATGAAGATAGAAAGGTATAATGCCATACCGTGAAACATTCCAGACAAAGCAATGACATCTCCACAGAGAAAAGGCACCCCTCCTCTCACAAAAATGTCTGGCGCCGCCCCAGTGGTGAGGAGGGCGTGGTACTACAGACAACTGGTACAAAGATTTCATTATGTTGAGATTTCAGACAAAATAATCTCAAACATCTCCGTCCAGACAAGTATTTTACAGACCCTCCACCAGAAAAGTCACACGATGCACCTTTAAACTAGTTGACCTTTAATAATAAGAGTGGAAAGCAGACGAAAACAACATGATGTGGAGACGGGTGGAGAAGACGCGGTCGCTTCTCCCAATGACATCATACACGGGCGGGCACAAAGCGGCCTTCTTCTGCGCTGCAACTGGCCGTAAGTAAAGGCCAACAGTCAGTCTCATCCATGGCAACCGGCGCACTCCAAAAAAATGACAACTCCATACATCATCTTTTTGCAGGAGGCATCTGTGCTTGTTAGGCCCTCGGTGAATACCTGTGAGACTCTGCTATTCTTAGTCCCAGCCAAGACACTGAGTCAGGAAAGCTGTGCGGAGACTGACAGCCACATGGAAAAGCATTGATCAGTTCTGTCTGTCGCTCAGGGCGGAGGTGACAGGAGTTGGTAATCTGCAGCTGGGAGCATGGTTCAGTCAAGGTCATATATTTTGTTTTATTTTCAATAGTGTTGACATATTCCTAACATTTCAAACTTGATTTTTCAGTATTAAGGAAAATGTCAAGACATGATCCAACTTTGAAATAAAAGTGGTAATAAAAACACTCTCTACACCTTCAAATAAGACATATTGTGCTTGTATTTGCTATATAGTTATAATCTTATATAATCACTTATGAATCATTATAATTTGCACATTTTAAATCACAATTTTCATCTAAAATTACTTAATAAAAGAAACAAGTTTGCATTAGAAAATGGCCATTGGGAGTTGACCTCGCCACAAATGTCATCACAACAAAGCTGCCGAATCCTGCTCATATCAAGAAGGAAGAAAATTAAATTGGAGAATGAAGTAAGCACAGAGCGGTGGGCGTATGCCGGTCGAGTTCAATGCATGAATCTTTCCAAATACAATTTCAGATGAATAAATGGTGAAAGGAAACAACTGCAACATGGTCAAAAGCTCTGAAAAGTCGATTTTGTATAAAACGTCTGCTTTAAAAACACTATTTAGACAATAAAATGGGCAACACAAATTATTAGTACCATATTTTCTGGACTATTGAGCGCACCTGAATATTAGCTGCATTAAATACATTTTAACAAAATTTTTAAATTATACATATATGGGCCGCACCTGAATGTAAACCGCAGGTGTTCTCATCTTCAAGAACGTTTTCAAGTTCGGGCTGTCTACTTTTATTGCCTCTGAAAGCTTTTGTCGTCTTTTTGCATTGAGTCAGTGCGTCTCACCATCCACTCACTGATGTCGAGCTCACGTGCAGCAGCTCTGTTGCCTTTTTCAACAGCCACGTCAGTCGCCATTAACTTAAAAGCTGCATCATCTGCATTTCTTCGTGTGTTTTCTATGAGGAGGGTGTGTGTATGAAGTGCAAAATAACAGTTCAAAACACAATCAAATGAGCATCTTCCTCAGCACATCACCCCCGTCTCTCCCCATGATTTACTGTGCATGTCTCCTGCAGAAAGAGTCTCTGTCCTGTCTGGATCATGTCAGTGTCTTGGAGGATTTCAGCAGATTTCAGTCTCTCTCGGGACGGGGCTAGTTTTGTCAATCAGGTATGAGTACATGTCCGGCTACTGAAGTTTGACACGTTTCTTCTCATCATTTCAATACGTATCCCCCTCACTAAAGTTAATTTAGCATCATAACTTATTTTATCACACGACGATAAACTATTTGAGTGCGCTGACAATATCGCTAGCAACTTGATGTGAACCCGAGATCCATGTGTTACCGCACAGACAGCGGCGTTTTCTGCAATCAGGCTGCGCGCATCCGCTGTCTTACCAAACCAGACCATATTTACAGTCTGATTGGACAATGTGTCAAACCAATAATCCGTCGTTTTATTAGCCGCAGGGTTCAAAGTGTGAGAAAAACGTAGCGGCTTATACTCTGGAATTTACGGTAACTGTTTTAATATTCACACGTTCTTTAGTTTACTAGCCCTGATATAGACCACGACTGTAAAACGACTCAATAAAAGTTCAGTCAAGTCAATTATATAACCTTATGAGCTTGACGCCTGCTCAAATGAGAGTCTAGTTTCAATAATAGTTTTAGTTTTGAGTAGCATGTAGAAAACCAACCAGTCTCCTGTTGTGAACTCTGAACAACTTTTGAGCATTCAAACTATAGAGTATTTAGTTTTAAATTGTTAATCGCTATGGCAACAATCTCAATATTTCATCACTACAAAACCAGTGGACCATTTTTAGAAATAGGTGTGTCCCCGAATGCAGAGGGCAGAGTGGTTAGGCGGTTTCAGAGCACTTTGGTTCTGTGCCAGAAGGACTGTGGCCTTTCTCTGTGGAATCTGTCTGTGGTTTTTCTGTGTACCAGACTTCCTTCCGCTAAACACATCTATTCATAATAGTCCAGCTCCACTCTGTTAGCGTGGCCCCTTTGACCCATTCTTTAAATAGGCAGGGTCTAGGAGAGGTTGTTTGTAATTACTGAGAAAACATGGGACTCAGGGCACTTTAAAAAAAAAACAAATTATAATGTATTTCTGCAGACCTTTGTACCTCCATAACTGCATTAATTCTGTTTTCTGATGTTTGCATTATAATGGATCTGGCCTGAACAGATTAAAAAAGCAATTTCATGTTTGCCATTTTATTTGCTATTGTCATTCTCTGTCTGTGTGTGTACTGTCATTGGCTGTTTATCCTTTCAGTGCAATGGAACAAGAATTAACAGCTTGTCAGTGTGGCTCATAATCAATCCCAAAACACTACTGTGAGTAAAGACAAGTTTAAAGGGCTTATGTGATGCAAAATTGATTCTAGTGAGCTTTAAGCCATGTTATAATTCTGTTACCTCCTCAAAAATATACACGGAGTTGTGTTTTGGTTCATTCATACATGTTGGAGTAATCCTGCATTATTAGTTTGTCTACATCTCCAAAGTTCAAAATGCTCTGGTCCACCTTGTGATGAAGCAGAAAATTTCAAGTTAAGAGTGACCTTTTATCTTGAACTCAGCGGAGATTAGACATTCCAGGTCTAAAATCATCCAAATGATTCTAGTGAAGGTGTACGGAGTTTAAAAACACAATGACGCACTTTCTGTACCACATGACATCACAAGGTGGAATAGAGTGTTTTCTGTTTGAGAAAAGAACTCAGCCTAAATATGCAGGGTTTGTGTGAAAAGGGGTGTAACGGTACACAAAAATCACGGTTTGGTATGTACCCCGGTTTTGAGGTCACGGTTCAGTTCACTTTCGGTACAGTATGAGAGCAAAATCCAAATCCATTTGCTTGTTGTTTATTTGTGTGTTTATTAAACCAACTAATTTGTTTTAACATTATACAAACAGGAAAATAAAATAAATGCTAAGTGCTGCTTGGTAATAGTAATAAGTTAAATAAAATATTCTCAAATAAGCAACAAATGTATGAAAAATTATAAAAAATAAATTCTTTGTAAACAGGAAAGAAAACTTTTCAAAAAGTAAAGCACAGCAGTAACAGTTCCAGCCTGAAGTTTTACTCAGTCTTCATATTTTTGGACAGAAAAAAACAACTTGTCCACATTGGAGATTCTGTGCCGGCAAAAAGCAAAAGTGAGGACCGCAGCAAAATGACTCTAGTTTGGCTGTCCTAACTATAAAGCAAGTTGGCCGTCCTAACTATAAAGCGCTGCGGGAAATACTGCCACCCCAATCACGGACAAATTTCCTCATGAATATTAAAGAGCCAAGCCTTCCGTGTTGCACAAAATTCACTCATGCACAGCCGCGCACCAAACCAAACGTCCTGTACCGTGTACCATTACAACGCTATGTGTGAATGAAACAAAACACAACTCCAGGTACACTGTTGATGAGAAAACAACATTATAACATACCGTAGATCAGAAAATAGCGTAATATGGAGCCTTTAAACTAGTGCGCTACATGTTTTATCTAAGAATACTCCAAAAACCTCGCTTTTCCTAATACAAAATAGCCCATTCTCCAATTCATCAGTGCTGCAGATGAGCTGTTACCTGTGTACAAGGAGATGTAGGCAGAGTCAATCACTTCGTACTTCAGACCGGGGAGAAACGGCCGCCACTGTGAAGGGACAAACAGAAAAACAGTCAGATGAGCTAGAATTCTTCTAAATAGATTTCACAATTACCGCGTCACTTCTGATTAATAAAAGTATAATACGTGGAGACAGGTCATTTTCCAACCATTTTAGTCTTGCATTGAAATATAAACAGGTTCTCGGGCTCATGCTAATGTCTTTACACGCACTGAAAAACCCACGGCTTCGGATATAAGGCGATACATACCATTATTTTGTAGTTGAATCTTAAATTATTATTGCCTTACATTTTTAAATCGATGTTATAATGGTGTTTCCTTGTCACAAACATACAAACTCCAGGTATGTTTTTGATTCTAACATGGCTTAAAGCTCACAAGAGTCAATTTTGTGTAATATAGGACCTTTAAGAGTCTCAAAATAGTCCAATATTGTCCATACGCTGTCTCATTTACACATGAGGACATTTACTCTATAGGCTACAACAAATATGGACACCATAGAAAGCCTCCTGCAGAGATCCCAGCAGGAGGCGCTCAGCAGGGACGCAGTTTTATGTCAGTTTCTTTATGTTTTCAAGGTTAATTTTAGAGAACATCAAAGAAGTCAAACAGGACAAAAGGTGGAAATAAAACATTCTTGCAGTACATGAGCATACACTACCAGTCAAAAGTGTGGACACACCCTCTCATTCAGTGTCTTTTCTTTACTTTTACTACTTTCTACAGTTTATATAGTGAGATATACGCAATTATATAGCAAAGAAAAAAGTGAAATAACCATTAAAATCCTCAAAGTGGCCACCCTTTGCTTTGCTTTGTTGAAAAATATTTAGTAAAGTTATTTCACTTTTTCATTTACTATATAATTCCATATATTTTACTTCATATATTTGATGTCTTCTGTGTGTATCTAAAATGTAGAAAGAAAAAAAAAAAAAAACTGAATGAGAGGGTGTGTCCAAACCTTAGACTGGTAGTGTATAATAAAAGTTTTCTCCCATCTGTATTGTGTATGTAAACAAATAGATGAAATGTTTAGAGTTTCAAAATAAAATGCACTTGCAGGTTACATGTGGATGCTGATGTTAAATGTAGTCCTCAAAATGGTTAAATTATAAAACAAAAATAGTTTTCAATGTACATTACCAGTCAAAAGTTAAGACAGACCATGTAATTTAATGTTTATTTTCTATATGTTTACTACTTTCTATGTTTTATATATGTACAGAAGACAAATATATGTATAAAGTAAGATATAAATAGATAGATACTTTATTGATCCTGTTGGAAATTTAAAAAAATTATAAGGAATTATGAAGCAAAAAAACTTAAATGACTCTGCTAAATATTTTTTTATATATTATATTCAAGTCTTCAAAGTAGCCACCATTTACTTTGTCAAAAAATAGTACCATTTAACATTTTTCTTTACCACATAATTCCATATATCTTGTTTCATATATTTTCTGTCTTCCTTTGTATGTCCAAACCTTTGACTGGTAGTGCACATTGAAACCTAAATACATTCTAAAATTAATACGGGGCAGTACAAAGCTCAGCGCAAAGGTTGGCAGTAAATTGTGTTAGGGTTCTCCCATTACTTTTCCTCAGAGATGTACTGACCTGAAGTGGATCTCAGGGCGTACTTATATACATGCTGTATCTGCCATACATGTGTGAACAAGAGCGAGCACGCAGACTGCAGACACGAATCTGTGTTTGTCTTTGACAGCAGGAGGAGCTCGGGCTGCTTTTTGGTCCATGAATGAGACCAAACTGAGAAAATAATAAAAAGTATTGACCATTGTGCGAAATGGCAGGAAGCAGCATGCAGGCTGTTTTATAACATATCATGACATTTCGGACCAAACAGAGAGGGACAGTAAAAGTGTCTCAAATATATATAGCAAAAAGTTTTTCCCAACTTAGATTTCTTTGAACATAAATAAAATTCCATTCAAGGCGGTGTTTTTCTATATCTCAGGAGTCCATTTCTTTGGAGAGGAAGAGCGCCGCAGTGTTGTTTGTTTACTTCAATTCAATTGCCCGCTCCAGAGCCACAGGCGCTCGGAAACCAAGAGAGTTTGAGTGTGACACGCAGGAGGTAATGAAATCAAAATACCTGACCTTTCACATTTCATGTTTAAATCAATTTAGTTGTGAGCTCTGATAAGATTAGCAGAAACCAAACACTTCAGTGTATTAATCATAAATGCTCCCTTATGGTTTTATTGTACCTTACAAAACCTCTGAGTTCTGATTGAAAATGTGGGTTAAATCAAACTGAATCATTTTTGTGACTAATGCTCTTGTTCTAAATGTAGCGCTAAATCTACACTGTATGTAAGTAAAAAGGGTTAGTTACATGAATTCAGTGATAAATTATCCTTAACAGGTAACAGTTGATGTGATGGCAGTAGCAGCATCATCCATGCATGTACTTTAAAAGCGCTTTGTGTTGCATTTTTGTATGAAAAGCGCTCTATAAATAAAGTTTGTTGTTGTTGTTGTAAATAGTGTTTCAGAATCATGCAGCTAAAACCTGGAACAGTCTTCCTGAAAATGTGAGACAGGCATCTGCTTTTGCCGTTGTTTAAATCCAGCCTTAAAATGGTTCTGTTTAGCTGTGCATATGTTTTTATTTTTCATTCTGCACTCTTCTCTCTAATTTAATGTCTCTCTTTTTAATTTTATGATAATTATTTATGTTTTGATTTGTTTTTATTGTGATTTTAATGTATTTCTTATTCTGTAAAGCACTTTGAATTACTTTGTGTACAAATTGTGCTGTACAAATAAACTTGCCTTGCCTTAAATATATAGTCTTGGTTATGAAAATTAATGGAACGCTCACTGAGTTACAATACTCTAACATCTTCTTAAAGAAAATCTATTGCACTTGTGTCTGCTATATAATTATGATCTATAACACCCAGGATCATTATGTCATAATTTGAACATATACAATCTCAATATTCATCTGAAAAGACTTAATAAAATAAACAAGTTCCCTGACTTCCGAGCTGGTGTAAACTCCATCAAAACAAACAGCCGTGTAGCTGTCAGCCCTTCTGATGGATAGCAGCAATTCACACTAGCAAGCAGCAGATTTTTTTTTTTACATTTGTACCAAAATTACTACGCAACGTTGCCAATTAGGAAAATAAAATTGAAGAATGTAAGTCCAGAGACGTGGGTGTGTACTGGGGGAGGTGAAAACTGGTATTGATCCACAACATGGCATCTTTAAAATAGGGATTAAAGCTCAAACATGCACAAATCACTCCAAAAACAACTTAGAAAGGATAAATCAGAAGAAACAGCTACAATATGGTTAAAATCTCTGAAAAGTCGATTTCCATAGGCTAACAGGTCTGCTTTAAAATTCAACAAAATAACAAAACAAAAACAAAACCTCCCACACGGTCGAAACAGAGGAGTTCAGCCTCAGTTCAGACTATTACATATGGGAAACAGACATGAGGTTAATTCTTAATGAGGTTCCCAAAAGTGCTTTCTCTGAATATACCGCACACTTCGCCTCACTTACCATTCATTTAGCCTGTTACTGAGAGACAACCGTTGGAAACAAATCTTCCCTTTGACCTATATTTGTACTTCTGTTGCCAGACGACTCCACAGCCTTAGCAACTGGTTTGGCCCAAAATGACACGCTGCTAACACGCCAAGAATTGTAACTGCATAGATGAAGCCAAATTACCAAAGAGTGACAGTTTAAACGCTAATGAGAGTAAATATGAATTGCCTAAAAGCGTTTTGTTTATTTTAAAGTGCTGTTATTAAAGATCCCATATTACGTTATCTGGAATTGTTGGACTGTAGCTGCGTGTGCTTCTATAAAGGACGGACGAAACTGACACTCAAGGATCTTCTGTGAACATAAAAATGCCATTAGAACTAAAAATCCCAATTACCCAATGGCCCTACATTTTAAACCCTCCATTCAGTGTAAAATCAGCCTCTTAAAAGTCATGGTAATTGAGGTGATCCCTCCAAACATCAGGTCGCGATAGACTCCTCTAAAAACCTTCTGGATTGTAAACCTTAAAGACCACACGACATCCGAGCCTTAATGACGATTTGGATTATTCAGTGTTCCTCTGAAACTAAAGCTTTCTAGGCAATTCTTTAATGTAGATGATGTTTTTGACCTGTGGTATCTATTTTTGTATATTTATTATTGCGTATGTGATGGACACATCTACTTATCTCCAACATGTCCTGTTTATCTTGTTGCTGTTCGGTGGGTCTGTTCATCACATATTTATTCCTCATGGTTGGCCAGCCTTTTTTATTTTTACCTGGTCCCTGAAGGGTTGACCAGGTTTTGTATTCACCCTGTGTGTCCGTGTGTGTGTGTATCTGTCCACCCATGATAATTCTGCCATTTATGGACCGATTGTCACCAAATTTGGTACGTGGGTCAAACCCCCGTGCCTGATCCCGCAAAAAAAAAAAAGTTTGGTGACGATCTGAGGTCATTTGAGGTCACATGGGTCAATAGAAAAGTCGCGCCATTATAAAGGATAGGCAATTCTGGCAATTTCTGATCCATCTCCGGGCTAAAATATTCACCCAATCATCACACAAGTTGTTACACACATAACCGGGGTACACTGGATGTTACTGGTTGAAACCGGTCAAGGTCACTTGAAGGTCAAGGTAACCAAATATGTGTTTTTGGTCATAACTCCGTGAAGGATCGAGCTAGAGCAACGGGATGGTCTCAAAATCTCAGAAAAATTATAATCTATTTATAATTCTGTGGACTTGTATAATAAAATATTAATAGTTTTTCAGATAATCACTAATTATAACAGTTCCTTTCTCTTTCAGTGTATGCCATCAAAATTGTAATTGGAACGAATATAATTTCCATGTCTTCTTTTTCTGTTGATACACAACACACCGATCTACAGTCACACAACTACCAAACACTGAACTCATGAAAAATTACATTTTCATTACACACTAGTAAACACAGACATTCTCATGTGTGA